TGCTAATGACAATGGGATAAAGTCCTAGCACTTGGGTTCGGTTGTCCAATTAGCAGAGTTTGTTTTGAGTTTCTTGCACACCAATGTATCCGGGCAGAAGTAAATAAAAAGCTGCATTTCATCTTTATGTTTTGCTGTTTTCCCTGCTCCCGCGGCAGCCAACCAAAACTGGTTTAGTCATCTATCTTGCTAGTTAAATCTGGTGTCTAAATGATCAATGATAAAATTGCAAGAAAACTGCAGCAAGAAAAATGTGACGACCCCACCTCCCCCTAAGGCGTACCAAAGGGTTCGGCGGATCGCCTGCCCAGCTCTCGCCAGGACTCACTCACTATGGAACTCGAATCATGTATATACATCCATAGACAATAGATGCTCAAGTAAAAGATAAGAAACTTCTACACACCAGAAGTCTTCAAAGTTTTTACCATTCAAGTACAACCATCGAATATACAAGGGTTCTCATTCCTCATACAACCAGCCCGTGCCAAGCACTAGGGCGAGAACCATTACAAGGCCAAAGAACTAGATCAACTAGACTATACCGAACGCTCGTCCTTGCTCGCCTTCCCCTGCTAAGGAAAACAATTGACGTGGTATGAGCTAAAAAGCCCAGTGAGGTTCTATATATATAAACAAGTAATTAAACAAGGAACAGTAGTCATGTAATAACAATTAATCCAGAAAACATGTCCAATATAAAGCAATGATAATGCATTCATTAAAAGGATACGGGCTCCCAAGGAGCTCTTTGTTCGTTCGTTCGTTCCCCTGACATTTCCCCTTATTCCTCCAATTATTTGAAAATTTCCTTTTTGAGAAGTAAAACCCTCGTGCCTGCGTTCGTTCATTCATCCCTTTCCGGACGTTGGCCGGACTCCACCCATCCGGACGTTGGCCGGACTCCACCTACCCGGACATGGCCGGTCTACAAGGTAATACTCGAGTATACCAAATTCACCCAGGTTCCTAATCGCTCGACGACGAGTCCGCTTCTGGCTCGAGACGACCGGTAACAAGGGCAAGGGCCCAGTTCAGCCAAAAGGCTTACATTCATGCGCAACTAGTATTTCAACATTTAATCACCGAAAATTTCATATTTATTTAGGTCGAGTGCGATAAAGTACACACTCACCTAGCAAAAGTTCATTTTAAAAATCATAGAAAACAAGTAACATGTAATCAAATAGTCACAAATAACCACATAGATCCAACAATCCACATAGTCATAGGAACAAAACGTATATAGAACACTCACCTATTTACGCACAACAACGTGCAAAATATCCTTCCGGATATTATCTTTAGTCACCGAGAAAACCTAAGATTAAATGAAAAGAATATTACCACTCATTTGTCACAACCAATTAGGTGCAATCAAAGAGACTCGTCGCATGATGAGTAGAACGTATAAAAAGACTTTAAAGTGGAACGTGGACATTTGGACTCGTGGATAAAAATAACTAGGGTTTCATAGACCACACATAAAACCAACTCAAAAGGGTTATAAATTTTCTAATGGAAATGCTTGAACTAAAGACAAATCAAAATCCAACTAGATAGACTAGGAAATACCATTTTCGGAATCGTTTATGTGGTTGAAACTTATCTTATATTCAAGTAAATATTATAGACTAATTGTCTTAATGAAATTCATGAAAAAGAGAGGACAAAATACTCAAGAAAATCCTAAACTACTCTCTTTATTTGGTAAGAGTAAGTAAACATTTGGAGTTTCCAATTGAAGAAGGATCATGTTTTTAAGATGGAAAAACGGTCATAGTATTTTACAAGTTCAAATAAACCTTAGCTTTCGGGCGAAAATTTGGGCAGCATGCCCTTTGTGTTTACCTAATTTTCCAGCCATTTTGGCTTCATTATTTTTTTCTCAACACACAACCCAACATCACACATAAGCAATTCAAGTCAAGAGCCGTTCCATAGGCTCACAATATCATAAGAATAAGAAATACAGAAATAACAAGTGCAGAAATTCAATTTAGCAAAAGACAGATTTGACGTATGAAAGCGGAAATAACTTATCCGAGGCTACGCTTATCGGATTAAGACGCAACTTATGCCGTTTCGAAGCTAAGACACAGGGATACAATGTTCATGAAGGTCACTTAGTCCAGTTTCTAATGTAACTTGGTCAAATTCTCAAATTACAAAACCAGAAATCAATTCGTCGGCTGTTTAAATGCATTACACTGTAATGGACATATCTCAGAGTACACAAGTCCGAATCAGGTTTTCTTAGAGGCATTTGAAAGATAATTCAGAATACTACAACTTTCATGTTTTGGAAAAAAGTTAAATCAGAATGAATACTAGTCAAAAAAGGTGATAAACTGGACTTAACTGATGAAACGGACTGCTGGGAAATTTTTAAAACAGTGAGGGTATTTTGGACTTTTCACATCCTACGTTGCTCCGATTGAGCTGAAATTTTATAGGCACCTATAAAACACCATTCTCTACAACTTTCCTTCTTTGACCTAAGGCCAATTCGGCCTCTAAGATAAGGCTACAAAACCGGACAGAAGTGAAACATGAAATTCCAGAAATCTGGAATTCTTATAATCAATTGCTAACTTCTTTGTTTTTGGCTTGCTTCACCATCTTAACTTCCCATATTAAACTTTAAACATCAAAGCCCCAAATTTTAAGCACTAGAAAATCATAGGAAAGCTGAAAAATATTCCAATAAAATGGAAAATCATGACCCAAGCCTCTATTTCACCACATACCTCAATAATTCAACCATATGTGACATATTTAGCAACTAATCGTGAATTTAATCGGAGAGTCAAGGTTCCAGCATGTATACCTTTCCAAGGAGACTAGAAACAAGTGTTCAAGGCCTTTGTTCCTCAAGAAAATTACACCGGTAGGTAGCCTTTGTGCTAGATAACAACTTAATCGGAGTAGATTTGCGCGAATAGAAGAAACTTTTCAAGATTTGGAGAAGAAATGAAGGAGAATGAGATGAACTCTCTTTGTCTCTCTTCTCTCTCTTATTTCGGCCAAGATGCAGAATTAATGAAGGAAATTAAGCTAAGCTTGTGTTATAAGAAGGTTGGAAAGCTAAGGATTAATTCTAGCCACAAGTTTGGCTAACACTTGGACTAATCTTGACCACAAATTTTTCTCTCTCTTGTTGCATTTCTAACCTCTAATTTTCGGCCAATAGGAGGGCTAAGAGGGGAAGATATTTTGCTCCATTAATGATAAACTTGTATGGCAAGAAAGTGGTGATCAAGTGGTGGTTCAATCGGTAGTGCGCGGGACCCGGTTCGCGCCGTTTTTCTTAAAACTCACGTACTAGGGTTTTTACTTTCCATTTACTAACCTTATCTCATGGCTACTACTCACATATTATTTCTCATTTAAAAGTCACTTTTAATCATCAAATTGATCCTCGGCCAGAACCGAAAATTCATCCGGCGGAAAAATCGAAAAACCCTATTTTGCTCAAGTCATGAAACCGAAGCGGAAAACCCTATTTTCTAGGTTCATCTGCACTTATAGTTGAACAATTAGATAGTAGAGCTTTAATAAATAATAATTTTCAAATAAAAGGCATTTTTGAGGAAAAAAAATGTAGAAAATTTGCGGGTCCTCACAAAAAATGTGAAGTAGCAGAAGAATAGCCCCAGTTTGCAGAATGGATACTTCGTTGCATGCATGAAATAATTCTAAAAATCACACTTTAACCCCTAAATCCTTAACTAATTCTTCTAAGGCCCAGAAACTTTGAAATTCAATCAAATTTGGCCCCTTTAAATGTCAATTTCCTTTGGTGACAGCTTGTTTAGGAATTTTAAAATGGAATTTGAGGATTTAGTGACTTTGGATAACTTCTTAGTTTTTTTATTCGAACTTTAATGCAATGTTTTAGTATTTTTGTTGTTTCATTCATTTTTCGTTATTTTTGTCATTTGACTGGTAGGTTTCACTTTGAGTCTTTAATTTTAATTGACCTCCTATTGGGCCCCCTAGTAGTTGCTATTTTTGGGAATTTGATGAATAATTTACTTTTCTTGGAAATTATGCATTATTTGATTTCATTTAAGTTGCAATTGGGAGGGATTTGGCGATTTTGCTTATATTTTACTATTTAATTGGTGCCTTGACCCTTTTATTGTTTTGAAGCTATTTTTCCTTCATTTGATTACCATTGTAAGAGAGGTACACTCTATCCCTTATTTTCACTTTATTTGACCCTATATGTCTATGTGATTTATGTGCTTAAATTGCATGCCTTTTGAATGTTTTCATTTTATTATTTATCTACTTTATTTGTTTTAGTTTTGTATAGTTATTTTTAATTTCGATCATTTGAAAGGCACTTGAATGCTAGAGTTGTAATAGTTAGGTTATTATTTTATTTATTTCCGTTTCCCCTCTTAGATTGTAGTAGGCTTCCCCCAATGTAATAGTTAGGGCTTGTTTGCTTATTTGCTTGGTATGTTTTGCATGCTTATGTGTTATGTGTTATCCGCTTTCTTAGGGCCTTACATCTAGATATCATGCTTATATGTTATGTGCTATACGTGATTTATGTGTTTACATGCTTCTATTAGGTCTTACACGATTTATTTAATTGTAACCGACGTGTGACGTTACCACACTAGTCCAATGCTAGTAGTGGCCCTTTTGTTCCGATTTTCCACTAGTCCAATGCTAGTAGGAATTCATAGACATGGGCTAGTCCAACGCTAGACCCTTAGGAGCCCCTTGAGCGTTAGATCATGATTGTGTGATAAAATCACTTCATCTCATGCACGTTTTTTCACTTTTAGGGTTTTACCATGTTGTGTGACACTTTCCTTATATATATATATATATATTTTCCAAAATAGCTTTATTCAAAATATGGAAAACAAATCCGACCTACAAATGAAATCTGGTGCCTAACAAACGGGACTGCTAGCCTATCTAGTCTTAATAATGCTTGAATCCGGCGTGGGAGTTCCTTTTCATCACTGTAGACCGCATCACCTCTTAACTGCGTCGAAACAAGTGCATCCGCCACCACATTTGCCTGACGATAAACATGACACAACTCCGCACCCAACCCGCAAAGAAGAGAGCGGATCTTCCGCAGAATGTTGCAAAGCGGCCAGCTTGCCAACGCGCCCGATGAGACCAGCCGAACCAGGGTTTTTGAGTCGGTTTCTGCCCTCACACCCATTAACCCGTTCCTGACAAAGTGCCAGACCCGCCAGTACCGCCAGTGCCTCCGCGTGAACCACAGAAACCTCCCCAAATTCCTTGGAGAAAGCAAATATCATCTTCCCCTCGGAGGACCGTACTACTCCACCCCCAAACGCTCCTGCCGCCGTGACACTTGCATCAGTGTTCAATTTTAGTCCTTGCTCAGGGGGCCGAGTCCAAGCCAGCATCGGCTGACGCCCCAACCCCAACCTTCTCCTTTCTCTGGCCCAGATACAATCCCCGTCTCCCTGAAACGAGCGATCTAATTTCCGCGCCTCCCCCAGGAGTTCCATCAGATTCCCCACCTCCCACACAATATGCTCTGCGCGCATCCTTACTCCCTCAAACCTTGCTTGGTTCCTTGAGCGCCATATGAACCACAGGGCAGCTAGCGGGACTAGTACCCGAATATGGTTCGACCCTACTTTCCGGTGCGACAGGAACCACGCCACAAGCAGGGAGGAGACACCTTGCACCCCTCTCCGTGAAAAACTAAACTGCTGCTCAAGCTGCTCCAAACACTTACAGCCACCGGACCCGACACAAACAAATGCTCCACTGTTTCCCGCGCCCTACAACAAGAGCACCTAGACCCTAGCTGAACTCCCTTCCTCTGCATTTGTTCATCCAAGGGGACCCACCTCCTCATCAGGCGTCAGACAAAAAAAGAGATCTTTGTCGGCAACGCTGAACTCCAGATGAGTCTGCTCACCACAGACTCGTTTCTTTTCTGGCGGAGGCCCTCCAGAGCCGACGAGACCGAGAAATCACCAGAGGAGGATCCCTTCCATACCATTTGGTCCTTAAGTGCTGGAAAGATTTGCAGTGGAAGTATCTTTGACACATAGCAGTCTGGTAGCCAGCTCCGGAGCCGGGCGACATCCCACCCATTCTGCAAATATAGCTCCCCAACTAAAACCATAGGCGCATGGGGCATATCCAGGATCTGAGCCAGCGGCAGCTCGGTGCACCAACGATCCCACCAAAAGTCAATCAGGCCTTCCCCCAGACACCAGCGAATCCTCCCTTCAGCAAAGTCCCTCACTCCCATTAACCTTCGCCAAGATGCAGGAGGCCTGTCTACTCTAACAAGCGCAGGATGGGTGCCTTTTACAGTGCATAAACTCTGCCCATGCCGAGTTTTTCCTCCTCAGCTTCCACCAAAGCTTACAAGCAAATGCCTGAACAACATCTCCGAATGCCCTAATGCCCAATCCACCTTCACCCACCGGGAAGCAAACTTTCTCCCAGGCTGCCCAGTGCACTCTCTTATCCGAGATGGAGTGGTCCCAAAGAAAACCGTTACAGATCCTGCCCAGGGCGACCAACACCGCTTTAGGAGGCTGTAGTGCCTGGAACAGATGGAGCGGGATGGAGTTAAGTACATGGCGGATGAGGACAATTTTACCCCCATGGTCAACAGCTTGGAGCTCCAATGAAACAGCCTCTGTCGCAGTCTTGCGAGCAACCCATCAAACATCACACAGCTCATCCTCCCCTTCGTCAGAGGGACCCCAAGATACCTGATAAGAAGCCGCTGCTCTTGGAACCCAAGGATGGACTGCACCAACTGCAATTGCTCCGGAGAGGTTCCCGCAGCAGGAGAGAATGAACTTTTACTAGGATTTACCTTCTGCCCTGACCACGATTGGTATTGTTCCAAGAAAAGTTGAATCGCAGCCAATGCGTCCCTCGAACACCTTGTGAAGATCATAGTATCATCTGCAAATGCCAAATAGGGTACCCTGGACCCAGATGCCTTAAAAAACCTAGCCTCCCGTGCCATGAACAGGTCATGCAGTCCCCGGCCCAAGAATTCAGCGATGAACAGGAATAGCGTTGGCGACAACGGGTCCCCTTGTCTAACACCCCGTGATGATTTAAAATAACCGGAAGGCTCACCATTAATGAGTATTGAGAACCAAGCGTTTGAAAAGGTCCTGAAGCACAAGTCCACCACCTGCTCAGAAAACCCAAACTTTCGAAGCATGAAGAGTAGGAAAGGCCATTCCACTCGATCATAAGCTTTCTCCATATCCAACTTGAGAATTAGATTAGGGGCCTTCAAGCGTCTATCCAACTCCTGCGCCATCTCCTGTGCTAGCATGATGTTGTCAGTGATATCCCGTCCTGGGACGAACCCTGTCTGCCACGGGGATATGATCTTCGGGAGAATTGTGTTGATGCGGGACGCCAGGATCTTCGAGATGATTTTGGAGCTTACATTACATAAGCTTATTGTCCTAAAGTCCCGCCACTGACAAGCACCCTCCACTTTAGGAACAAGGACAATCAGCGAGCTCGACCAACCCCTTGGCTGACTGACCCCAAAAAGAACTCTCGTATCGCCTTTACCAGGTCGTCCTTGATAACTTCCCAACACTTTTGATAGAATCCCACACCAAAGCCATCCGGCCCTGGGGCACTGTTCGCATCCATTGAGAACACCGCCTGCCGGATCTCCTCCACTGTTGGTATTCCCTGAATCATATTGTTATGTGCGCTATCAACCGTCGGTATTTCAAAGGGGGGGTCCGGGAAGCCTCCTCTAATTGTCGCCTCTGACGAGAATAATTTAGCATAAAACGCCGTTGCCGAGGCCTTAATGCGCTGCGCATCGTCGAGCCACCGGCCCTCCACGTCCTTAATCCTAGCAATAAAGTTTGAGCTCCGCCGCTGGCGAACCTCCGCATGAAAGAAGGACGTATTAGCGTCCCCATCCTTCAACCACTTCACTGCCGCCTTTTGTCTCCAAAACTCGCATTCGATAGCCAGGGCCCTGTTGTATTCTGCCCGCGCCGCGCCGCGGCGGGTCTTAGCGGCGTCATCCGACTCCTATCATACTCCTCCTCTCGTAACTTGTAGATACCCTCTGCCTCTTTTACCCGGCTCGAGATGTCCCCGAACGTGTCTCGACTCCAGACGCGTAGCCGTTGCTTCAGTTGGCCCAGTTTCTTGAAGAACCGGGCCATACCCACCCCTGGTACTGCCGTCTCCCATACTTCTTTGACCACTGCCAGAAAGCTAGGGTGGCGGGTCTCAGTATGGGAAAATAAAAGGTTTTTCCATGTTGTATGACACTTTCCTTATATGTATAGCCTTATCCCGTATTTCCCTTTATATGTATATTCCTTACCCCTTTGTATGAAAACATGACATTAGACCTGCATTTCCATTTAAGAATTAGAATTAGGGTAGTGCATTTGCTTGATTAGATAGGGAGTAACCCCTTGGATATGGGATATGGACGAGTTTAGCTTTCTAGCCTTAGCACGCTCGTATTCCCTCTATTAAATGGAACAATTGAGTCACGAACATTAGTCCCCCGTACCCGACATGATGCATTCCTTTAGGTCACGTATATTTGTATAATTATTTTATTTTCCTTTTCTTTTTTTAGAGTCTCATATTTTTTGCATTATTCGTAACCTCTCCAAAGAGTCCACATTGGGCATCACAATTAATGTGATTGGCACCAATTGATTTTTGAAGAGAAATTTCGACCCCCCGATACCCTCTTAGGTCTAGGGTTTGCATTCATATAGTACATCCAAATGTGATAAATCTTTAGGTTAAAATAAAAAAATTTTTGACTAAATCGCGCAACTAGCCTTGGCTAGGTTGAAAGGGTGCCTTGAATTCTTATCCTTGCCTTCCCTTTCTTCAAATGTGACTCCCGAATCTTTTTCTCTGATTTTCGTAGACTTGGAGTCGTTTAAAAAGGGTTTTCTACTTTTTCCTTTAAAATTCATTTTTAGGTCACTTGGTACACCTCAACTCAATACCAAGTGGCGACTCCATTTTCCATTCAAAAAACCCTTTTTAAACTATATTTTGGGTCAAATCGTCGCATTTTCAAGTCCCATTTAGACCCATGTTTTTCATCAAAAATTCATTTTCCAATCAAAAATCGAATCAAACGCCATTTTCCTAAACTCGCCTTTTATTTTTCTTATTAAAAAATGGGGCGCGACAGTTGGCACCTCTACTGGAGACTTAGAGGGTCCGAGCATTCGATTTAGTCAACCTTTTTCTTCTTTTAACTTTTTATATATCACATTTGGAGGTTTAGGGTTGCATTTTTTATTCTTTTAGGGTTTTTTGCATCTATCGCGTGCGCAATCGCTTCTCGTACACCATGTATGTAATGAATGAATGGTTTATTTACTTGTATCGCGCTTACATTGTTGGGTGGGGGTAGTCACCCTAGTACCTTCGACCGCATTTGAATGGTATAATCCCTCCTCTCAAAAGGAAGCACCTCATACGTGCATGCATAATTTTACCCTACTTTTTTCTCTTTTCGTGGGCGCCATCCCACATCTCTCTGTAGGATTAGGATCGATTGCCTTAGGTATGCGGATGGTGTGCACTGCGCCCATAGCGATGCCTAAGGGATCACTCGAGCCACTGACCGAAGGCCCTGGGAGTGATGACCCTTCGCCTTTAGGTCTGAAGGCTTGGGAGCCGAAGCCTTATCGAGTCTAGTTGCAATAGCGAGCCAAACCTCATGCATCCATATTAGAAAATACCTTAGGGTAGAGTCGGCCTTGCCCTATTAGGAACACTATTCACGAGGGGAATCCAATCCCTCTTTTCCTTTTATTGCTTTATCTCTTTGTATTATTTTGCTACAATGTGTTATGTGTAATTATCTGATTGAACTAACCTTTTTTGGTTTTGTCTCCATTGCATTCATAAGCCCTAGACAATTAGAGTCCTGGCATGGTACTCTCTAGGAGCCTACCCTATTTGATGTGACACGTTCAAATTCATTGCTTCACATTTACAGCATGAATACATTTCATTTTAGACTCACCCGGCATACAAAAAAGGGTTCCTTTAGGCTACGTTTCTTTTATGTACTGCATATTTATTCGTTTTGATAAAATGGCATCACGCATAAACCCTAGAAGGGAATGCCATTTAGGGGATCCTGTATTAGAAATAAACCGCCCTGTGTCTCGGATATATAATCCAATGAGACTTGCACGTTTATATTTTCTCTAACATCCGAAGGGGTAGTGCACGAGATAAGGTAGGATCCGATCTTTTCAAGACGGCAAAGCAATTTTTGCATATTAGAATATGAGCGTCTAACAATCATCTTTTGGCCATTTTAAACGAAATTGGTGAATCTCCCTTGCGTAAAGGACATTAATTTGAAGAAATTCACAAATAATTCTTCATTATTGAGATAGAAAACATATTGAGGCCAAATCTTGATTTTAGAAGGCTCATAGACTAAAGCATTGCAATGAATTTTTGAATTTTTCAACTACCAATGGGTAGATAATTCAATCGATTTTTGAATAAATCATCAATTTCATCCAATCCATTTTGTCAATTCATTCAATTTTAGGACAATCTAATCATTTTTTAATAAATCATTAACTCCATTTCATTCATTTGGCCAATTGACCCATTTTTAGGGCGATCGAGTCGATTTTACAGAGATCATCAATTTCATTCAATTCAGTTGACCAGTCTATCTATTTTAGTGCAATTCGGCCGATTTTGAATAAATCATCAATTTCATCCTATCCATTTGACCCGCTTATTCCCCTTTAGGGTTTAGGTCTAAGGTTCATTGAATAAATTAGTCAAGACATTGCAATCCTTTCAAGATTAGGCTCTTTTACACATCATTTTATGTATTGACCAAAGCAAGCGATCCATTCGGATTTTGTCCTCATTTTTAGGACAAATGTCTCTTCTTACTCCAATTGGTCAAACTTTTTCACATTATTTTTCACTCAATTAGTTGATCGGATTCATCAGGTATGGTATAGTGCCTACCTTAGAGGATTGCATTTTCATACTAGGCCTACCCTTGGCATAAAAGGGTTCCCAATAGGACATGCATACCGATTTTATAGTCTTGCTTACTAACTCGGGGTATTTTTTTTTCTTTCTTTTGTTTTTCCTCCTCCCCTGCATTCATAAAAATGCTTTAATAAGGTGAAAATATTTTCTCTATATCTGATAAAATTTAAAAATTATAAGTATTACTTGATTCTTGGGCAGGCCTTGCAATCAAAATATAGGATCTATCTAGAAGCGCTAGGCTAAGGCCTCTAAGAGATTTCATAATTGTTTTTCAAAGAAAAATTCTGTATATTTGACTTGTTAATACATTTTTGTCCCAAAAGAAAAAGAGACGAAAAGTGTGTATGTGGAGCTCTTTAGAAGTTTTTCTCTTCTCATTTGTATTATAACTGAACGAGAAATTTTGTTTTAAACTTTTTCAGCAATAATGTTTTTGGACAATTATTGTTTTGTATGTATTCATGTACATTTCATTCTTTTGCTCGTCGGAGATTTCATGATGAATTTTGGGAAATAAGACTAAATTGAGATTTTTTTCAACCTCTTGTCTGAAAATTCACAAGATTAGTGATCCAAACTGTACAATAAGAGTGCCCGGAATTAAAAGAAGCCACTCAAACTGATCGGTCATTCAAAAGGCCCAATGAGATACCTTTTCTCCTTCACAAAAGCACCCCAAAATAAAATCAGTCACATCGATTGATAAATTGCAAATTAGGGCAATCTTTGCTTGAAAAATGTCCACTGTGTCTAATTATATTCAATTCACATCTAAGTGAAAGCAAAAATGTGCATTACTCTTGTTTGTTTTGAAATTTTGGAATGATACTTCGAGCATTCGTTTCTCTACCCATACAGATTTTTATCATTTGCTCTCCTATTTGAACCTTTAAAAGAATAATTTCGTTTCAAATAAGCGCCTTGATGGTCACTACCCTACATTGGAAAATTTTCAAATATCAAAAAGGGAATAGACTCTCAATGAGCATTTCGTTACTTTGATTGTCCTGAAGCGTAAGAATGATGCTTTGGCCATCGTTTCTACAACCTAAACACTATTTATCCCTTATATCCTTATTTGAGTTCAAATGGGTGGTTCTTTTCAAAGCACTTATGATCGCACCCCACATTGGGGAAGAAGATTGGAGAATTTTGTGAAAAGGGGTAGAAAAAGTAAAAATGTTAAAATTTTTTTAAAAAAAGGAAGAGAACCCAAATGGGGAAATTTGGATTTTACCATCGATATCTGGGCTTCAATTTTGAAAAAAAAGAGAAAAAAAAAGGAAGAGTTTTGTCCGGCGGATCACCTACGTTTCACGGATATGGATGAACAAGGATCTTCCTCACTCAATTAATTCAGATGTATGTAAAAAATTTCGCATTAATGAAAGTTTCCTTTCAGAGTTAATGTAAGGAACGGAATAAAAGTCAGGCTGTGACGCCCCGAAAAGAATGAGTGTGAGAACCCGAAAATTTTCTAATTTTCTAGGGTTTATTTTATTTAATCGCCCGCCTTTTCTACATTTTTTTTATTAGAAAAATTCCCCAGATAAAGTTTATGAGAAAAGATAGTTTTAAAATGATTTTTCCAGTATCGGTTAGTTTTTGAGAAATTAAGAGCGTATTTTGGACGTGGGACCGCTAGTGCGGTAAATGCATTATATTTTTGACAACTTGTTGGAATTTTGTATTAAGTGATATTATTTTACAAGGTGTTAAGATATTTGTATTGGAGAGACAAAAAGATAAGTTTTAAACCTAAAGGTGACAAGTGTCACCATAAGATTTAGTCTTGAGTTTGACTACTATTCATAACTTTACCATTTAATTCAAATTGGCCCAAAAATCACTTCATTTTTGCAAGCTTCTTGGCCGAATTTCTTGCTCAAAAAAGAAGAAAAGCTCTCAATTTTCTAGTCTCCAATCTTGCCCAATCTCTCAATTAAACCGTTTAATCTTCCAATTACTCCATAAAACCTCTTAGTTTGGTGGAGTTGAGTTTGGTTGTGAATTGTTTGGAAAGCTAAGGTGGCTAGTTGCTCTATCTCTTGTATTGCTAAGGTGAATTGTGAAGGACCCTCTCCTTCCTCTAATGATGCTTAATTGATGATTGGTGGTGGTATAAGATGCACTTTTATTTATATCTTGATTTTGGTTGAATTGGTGAAGTT